GCCTCCCCATTTTGGAGAATGAGCTAGAGCAGATACAACACTACTGTGCCACGGAGGCAAAGAGCGACTGCCGGCTCTCGAAATCCAGTCAGTCTTGCTACTCAAAGGACTTGATGGACTTCTAGAGGACCACTGAGTGGATTTCCTGAATTCTGAGCATCTGCTATCTGACACAGCGATAAATGAAATAATAACTAACGTATTCTAATCATTCTTCCTCTCAAAGAAAAGCGCATTGAAAGCCGTTAGCTTTTTTTTCTTCTAGTACCATTTTACTTAATGTTATCATTAAAACACAGTAAATCATCAGGTTAAAACCTTGCATCAGGTACTGTGTTTACATACACTATTTCCTCCCTACTGCCTGGGAGGGAGGAACCATTATCCAGATGTTGCAGCTCAGTAAACTGAGGCTCACAGAGGCTATTGGGGAGCTGGACCGGGATACCAACCCAGAACAGCCTTACTCCAATCCAATGCCTGAGTTCTCTACTAGTGGCCTCTACCTCGCTCCCAATCTTGAGTATTACTTTAAAATAAGACAGACAGCTTATATTTTCCATAACATCACCAATCTTATTTAAAAGAAAATGAATTTACACGTCCAAGGAATCAGAACTGTTTACTCATTCTATATTCCACAAGCAAGACAGTATTCTAGGAATAGTTAACGTGCCTCATTAAGAGGCCACTTTCTCTAATTATCAACGTGATTCAAAGAATGTTAAAATTCTCATTATAAATCTTGGTATCTGATAATCAACCATGCGTCACATGGGATTCTATTTCAGAAGATAGTGCTAATTCAACAGGATCAGGGTGAGAGAGCTTATCGTATAAGAAATAATGAAATAAGGGGGAAAGCCATTTTAAAGTTTAATGATAGGCCCATCAACATAAAAGTTGTCATTGGAAGAAGAATGTATAGCTCTTAATCAGAAGGCAAAATTTTACACCTGAATTATAATTAATTATTTCTACTATGTTTGTCACCCATTAGGTATCTCCTTCCAGGCTTTCTTCCCTGAATTTTTTTTTTAAAGATTGGCACCTGAGCTAACAACTGTTGCCAATCTTCTTCCCACCCCTCCGACCCTGCTTGCTCTCCCCAAATCGCTCCAGTACATGGTTGTATATTTCAGTTGTGGGTCCTGCTAGTTGGTGCACGTGGGACACCGCCTCAGCATGGCCTGACCAGCGGTGCCATGTCCGCACTCAGGATCCAAACCGGCAAAACCCTGGGCCGCCAAAGTGGAGTGCATGAACTTAACCACTCGGCCACGGGGCTGGCCCCTGAATTTTTAAATTATTGATGTGTCCTGGAAAAAAGATCCTTTTTGAGGGGAGCATATGTGTATTTGCATGCGTGTGCATGTGTGTGTTCACAATCTCTTAATAGCCAATGGTGGGTGAGAGAATGAGAGGGAGAGAAAGGGGTCAGAGTTAAGGACCCAAGCAACATCCCTCAGTCTCCACTCTGCACACAAAAGGGTGGGGCAGATGACAATGAAGGGGAGAGGGCAGAAGGTGTGCAGCTACAGCAATTCCTCTCCCCAAGCATCACAGTGAGCTCCGCCAGCAGATCCTTCAACCTAATCAGAGGAGGAGACTGTTCACGAGGTTTGCTCGCACACTCCAAATACTGACCCCCCAAAGTCTCCATCACCAAAGAGTTAACTTGATATTTTTACAATACAAAATACAGACAATCCATGCTAAACTATTTCATTTGTTGCCTTTGCTGTTTTTAATTTGTTACATTAAAAACTTTGTTAATGTCAAATATTGATATACATGGTGTCCACTCAAAGCCGGTGTGTAGGCTTTAAATGAGGGGAATCAAAAATTCACTTATATCTTTTGGTTGAGTTATGGTTCTAAAAAACCAAAACACTATGAGTGTAACGTTCAATGAACAATAGTATATTTTTTGTAATACTTTTCTTTTCTCCTATGCTATGTTTGTTCTGATTGTAGAAATGTAATTTTATGTCTTGAATCTAACAACTAAAAAATTTGAGCTTGCGTTTGGTATATCCTCTCTTGCATTACATCTTTCTTATAAGCCATTTTTATTGTATTTTACCAATGCACGTGTACACGACATTGGCGGTGGGGGCGGGGGGCTTTGGTTTTGCACTGAAGACATTTGAGAAGCTCTCGTGTAGATAATAATGGCTGACACAGTCATCTCCAAGTGACCCAGTTCCTAGTCGCATTAGATTGACATGGTTCTATTTCGTATTTGATACTCATATGTGACACCTTAAGTTCTGAGAGCATGGAGAGGAGTGCAGAGCACTGACCAGGCCTTGGCAGGGCTTGTTGTGGCTCATAAGGACAGGGTAGCCTAGGAAGAGGTGCTGAGTCACTCACCCCTGCCTGACTTTCCCTCTTAAGCACAGTGCCCTAGGATGCTCCTGAGAGATTAAAATGCTCAAGGCAAAATCGATTCACTTCCCAATCTTGCCTCAGGCAAAGCACGATAGTAGCAAACTGGATGAATTGTTACAAGATCCTATAAACACTACAGAAACAAGATGAAGACAAGAAAATTTGCTTCTCCTCACACCCAGGCATCTCCCTGAGCATAAGAAGGGAACTCAAACTAACATGGGATGGTTGAACCAAAACTAGTATATATATCTATAACAAACTGTTTTCTCTCTTTAAGCCTCAGTTTCCTTAGCTGGGGTAACACTGGTCTCTTTCTCATAGATTTGTTTTAAGGATGACATGAGATCGTGCATATAGGAAAGCCCTTGTCTGAGTGCTGACACCTGGAAGCCATCACCATGGGGAACGGCATTATAAAGGTGTGAGGACAAAGAGGAGGACGGAAAGTGGTCATTTCTAAACTTAGAGAAAGTCTCCAAAGCATCCTTCTCCAGGATTCCTTGGACAGGACCACCCATGTTCCTGGTGTTGGGAGTATAAATGAATGAACTGCTTTTTGGAGAATTGACTAGAAGGAGTGAGGAGAAGCACAATGAGTTACAAATCTGAGTACTTACCATGCACCAGGCACTCCACCAGACACTTGACTTACAGTGAACACCAAACTAGTTTTGACTCCCTGCTCCACCTTCTACTGACTGTGTAAACTTGGGAAAAGTACTTAACCTCAGTCTCCTCATCTATGAAATGGGAACAATAACAGTGACTCCTCCTAGAGTTTCAAGCCAGAGAATTGTTAGGAGGATTAAATGACTTAACTTGAAAGGTGCTCACACCTGAGTCAGGCACTGAGCAAGCATTCTGTGACTGTTAAATTAAAAAAAAAAAACTCCTGCTTTTCCTCCTTCCTCAGTCATCCCTCGTTCTCAGTCCCCTTGGCTGCTCCCCTCTCCTCCCCCATGTCTTAAGATTGGGCTGCCCCAGAGCCCACTTCTTGGTCCCCTGTTTTGGTTTCCTCAACATGTATTTTCACTTGCTTGGCAATCCCTTCCAGTTTCATGGCCTCAAATACCAGCTGTTTGCTGAGGACTGAGCTCCTTCCCGACCTCCAGACTCACAGACCCTGTCTTTTCATCACCTCCCGCTGTGGGTGTAACAGCCACCCCTAACCCAGTGTGCTCAAACTGAGCCACCCATCTCCTGCTCCCATCTCCTCCACCCACAGCCTCCCCCTTCTCACTGGAGGGCAAGTCCATCGTTCCAGCTGCTCAGACCAAAAGCCCTGGAGTCCTCCGTGACCCCTCCTTCCCTCACACCCGACGTGCAGCCCATTGGGGAATCCTGCAGGCTCCCCCTCAGAATGTATTCGAGGCTCTCACCCTCTCTACTGCCACCACCTGGTCTTGCCTGATGACTGCATCGACCCCACACTGCTTTCCACTTCTCCCCCTTCCTCTTAACAGACTCTTCTCACAGCGGCCAGGGTGATCCTTTTACGAATAAGTCAAAACACATCACGCTTCTGCACCAATCCTTCTGATGGCTTCCATTTCACTTAGAGAAGAGCCAAAGTCCTGCCACCAGCCTGCATACCCCACAGGACCAAGGACTCTAGAGTATCCCTCACCTCACCCCTCCCGCCCCTCCAGCCACACCAGCCAAGCGCGCACTGCCTTCACACTTGGGCCCTTTCCTCCTATTTGCCTGGAATGGATTTTGGCTTAGCTAATTCCGTCACCTCCCACAAGCCTTTGCTCAAATGTCATTTTTTTCATTGTTGTCTTCCATGACAACTCTATTTACACTTGTAACCCCCTCTCACTACTCCACCCTCACCATGCCTGAGCCCCTACCCCTTACTGTACAGCACCGTTCACCCCTACCATATGCTATCATTTACTTACTTATTATGTTTACTGTCTGGCGTCTGCCTTCCCCCCTGAGATGTGAGCTTTGCAGGAACGGGGTTACTTCTCTGTTTTGGATCCTAAGCTCCCAGAGCCCTGTCTGGCGCACAGCAGGAGTCCAATACATATTTACTAAATCAATATCTGCAAAATGGAATCTCCTAAGGGCTGGCTTATTAACTTAAAGAGATTGATTAACCTGCAAAGTCGGGATCCTGACACAGACCCACGTTCTTCCTACCACACTTTCTGCCTCCCAATATTAAACTTGTATTCACTCATCCCACCGTGCCAAGGCACACACTGCTAAGCATCCATTCATGTCAATGAGCTGTTGGAAGGTCATCACACAACTAGCATCTAATGAGTACATTCACTAGGTCAGAGAGTAGGACAAATGACAAGGATTAGCAATCACAGTTTGTAAGTTTCCGGTGCTAAGCTTAGATCACTTAGCTGAGTTTCCTTAAATAATAATTCCTCTATGTAGGTCAGGTGGCCAAATTGGACCCTCTTAGGCCCCTGCACAATCTAGTGACATGAGGAAATACCATTTTCCCTAATATCATAACTACCAAAGCTTCAACACACCTTTGCGATGCTGCATCCTTTAAAAGGAATTCACTGAGATAGTCTGAAAGATCTTGTTTCCTCCTGGAAAGGGAGAGACTTTGCTGGCAGAAGACCTCTACTCACCAGGATGAAGACAGTAAAGAAAATGACTACAATCGCAGCCGTAATGAACAGCTTTTTACGAGGAAACACGGCAGCAGGAAGGAGAAACACCAGCGCAAAGCAGATGGCACCTCGCAGCCCTCCGTAGGCAATGATGAACTGATCCTTGAAGGTCAAGGGAATTGTCCGGAACCAATTAATGACCTGAGTCAAGACAAAGACACCTGAGAAGAAAAACAAAACCAAAGAGAACAGACTGTGAGGCCAGAACATGAAAACACGGAGACTCGTTTGATGTTCCTCTGTGACAGGGCAAAGTCTTTAAGAAGAGCCCCCAAGATCTTTTCCCTTCTCCCCTGCCTTACTAGTACTACCAGCCCCTGGGCCTTTGTTGTTCCAAGATAGTGGGTGAAAATGTGGAAGCAGAGAAGCCAAGAGAGGTTAATTTGATTTGTAGCAAAAGCATGAAGATACTCAGGGAAGGAAAGAAGACACCAGGAAGTCGGGGAGAGGAGGAGAAAGAGGAGAAGAGGAAGAACAAGTTAAGGAAGACGAGGAGGAGGAGGAGGAGGAAGAAGGAGATCAGGAAGAAGAAGAAACAAAGAAGACGAAGAAGAGGAAGCAGCAGCAGCAAAGGGGAAGGACGAGAAGCAAGCCGCATCGTTTACTGAGCGGTGCTGAATGTTTCCTTGGGAAATAAGAGCTCGTTACCCAGTGCTCGCCAGATGAGACAGAAGGCCAGGGTGAAGCAGACGAAGGCCCAGTTCCACTCGTGGTTCTTCCCAACGGTGGACACGCCCATGAAGATGAAGATCAGGGTCTCGCTGACACTGCTCAGCATCTTCATGAAATACTTGATGGTGGTGTAGGATTTTTGAGATACATTTTCTTCCACGTACTTATTCATAGTCATTGCACATGCAGTGATTCTGCAAGAAGGGATACAGCTTCTATTTAAACATGACAATGATCCTAATCAGAATATCAGAGTCAGCACTTAAGAGCTAAATTACAGCTCTACCCTCTGCCCAGGATTACAACATGATTGATTGATTTTTTACAAGCGAATGTCATTTGCATCCTTAGAAACCCTACTATTTCTGGAGTTCTTCATCAGTACCCATGGCTTAAACTATTCAAGTAGTTCCACCCAGAACTAGAGAGCAGGCTCCACCCAGCTTTTTAGTCCCCCTCAGCTCTTCTTACCGCAGAGCCACATTCTCAAAAATCTGTGGACACTGGCACCATCAGCTATGCTGTCAGCAACACAAATAAAACAAATACATAATAATTTCAAAACTCATTATCTGCCTATGAAACCACTTCCATATTCTCTATTCCTCTATCGTCTAAAATGCCAAGCTATTGCCTAAAATCCTAAACTTCAAACTGTGGTGGTGCTGGACTTCTCCTCCCTGCCACGTCTCCTCAGTGCCCCCCCTCCATCACCATCTAATTGGTCACCAATTGTTTTTGATCCCTCACCTCGAATATCTTGGACCCACTCACTCTTTTTTTATCCCAATGCCTTAGTTCTGGGTATCATTTCTATTTTTCTACTGTATCTGCTTCTGGGAAATTCAAAATGAATTGGTAGGCTCTGAGAACTCCTAAAGGAAAGAAACTCTCTTGCTCGTTTTCCCCAGTGTTTCCCAAACTCTGGAACCACAGAGCTCTTGCTTTCCCCTCCCATGAGATCTACTGCAATACAGCACCTCTGCACACTCTGTGAAGGAAGGGCTCTAAGATCAAGTCCACACTCCGAAGTTGGACACCTGAAGCTCTTCACACTCTTCCCTCAGTGGATAATCCAGCTTCACATCCTCCCCTCTCTTCAGCCCGCACACACCATGTGCCTCGACTGTCTGTAATGGCCCAAACGTGCCCTGCTCTTTGCTGTCTTCCTGCCCCCTTGCACACAGACACTCCTCTCTGTCTGGAATGCTACCCTTGACCAACTCAAATGCCACCCACAGAGGGAAATTTAGTATGAGCTGGGTGATAGCTCATACTAGGTTCCACCAAAAGAGACACAGTTACTGTAAGGTACCAAAAGGACTTCATTATCAGAAGGTGCTATAGGATGACACAGAAAGACAGAATGCTAGTGAGCCTCATGCCCTCCACTGAGTGACAACCATGCCATAAACCAAGTATAGGTCACCATCTAGGAACTCTTCCACATTCTCATCAGGCTAGGACTACAATGTTTCTGAGAGCACTCCTCCTGCTGCCTCCAACCACTAAGGGTGGCTGCAGGTAAGTCAGTCTCAGGGTAAAGGAGACTACCTTACCCTGAGATTCCTGATGTTTCACGAAAACCCCCTACTGTGAGCACAAGGATAGGCAGAAGAACGCAACCTAAAGGCTCCCTGAGTTAAGATCTAAACAGGTCACCACCAGGAACAGACCTATTCCTTACATAGAAAACGTGTATATTTATTTTTGTGTCCCCATTAAAACAAAATAAAAATCTCACCAACCCAAGGACCATGTATTTAGCCACAATGTCACTGTCCCCGGAATGAGCGGGTATTTCCTTTAGATTTATATAAGAATGCATAATTCATGTGGCTCCCAAAAGAAAGAGTGCCTTATTAAATGGGTTAATACAATTCAGCAGCCACAAGCACACAGCAAAGCCTTTGAATAGCTGAGGGCGGAGGCAGTAACAGTCAACGTTTACAGCACCTCTACTCTGTGCATGTACTGTGCAAACACTTCACGTGGATTATGTCAGTTCAACCTCATAACAAGCGTCTGAGGCAGGCTCTACTACCATTCCATTTTACAGACGAGAGAACAAAGGCAGACAGGGGTCCACTCACTCAAGATGACAGTGCTCATAAATGATGGTGCCAGGATTTTAACCCAGGCAATCTGACTCAAAGCCAGCACAGTTGAGGACTTAAACCTTGCCCTTCCCAAACTCTCAGTGAACCCGATTATCTCAGGTGAGAGAGAGGTCTTAATCCCCTGCCAAGCCCTTTCTCCAGCACAAGCCTGTTTGTATGAGTTTCCTTCAGCTTCTGTAAGAAATTAGCAAGAACTGAGTGGTTTACAACAACACAAATTTATCATCGTACACTTCCAGATGTCAGAAATTCAAAATCACTTTCACTTTCTTCTTGATTTGGGGCTAAAATCAAGGTGCTAATAGGATTGTATTCCTTCTGGAGGCTCTGGGGAGAACCTGTTCCTTGCCTTTTCTAGTTTCTCGAGGCTGCTTACATTTCTTGGCTCGTGCTCGCATCATGCCAATCTCTGCCTCCCTGGCCACATCTCCTTCTCTGACTCTGCCTCCCTCTCCAGAGGATCCTTGTGATTTCATCAAGCCCACCTGGATGACCCTGCCACCTCCCCATCTCAAGACCCTAACTTAATGACCCTGGCTAAGTCCCTTTTATCATGTAAGGGAACAGATTTGGAGGTTCTGGGGATTGGGATCTTTGAGGGCCATTATTCAGCCAACCACACTGGTGCTGGCATTGATCTCCCTTGTGTGGTGGCCACAACCAAGTGCTTGTCCCCAAATGATTGTGGCCAGAGCTGCTCACATGTGCTTGGTGACAGAAGCTAGTGGGAGCTCTGTCACACTGATTTGACATGAAATAGTGGCATCTCCACTAGCAGGCACTAGAGCTGGGGAGAACAGAGTGGAGAGTGGCACTGCTCTGAGCGAGCCCACACAGGCCATCTCGCCAGCCCCCACCTGGATGGAAACCATTCATTAACTACATTTCTGAACATCTTCATCTTTTATATTTTGGTTTAATTTTTCTTTAACCAGTCTTTACAAAGTAAGATTTGCACAATACAAAGCACTGAGGGCAAAAGCCAGATTAAACTGATTAAGAATCTGAACTATAATAAGTTTTATAAAGAAAAGACATATACACAGTAACACAAACTAATGAGCTTTTCTTAAATGGTGCCAAGTTGAAAATCTGTAACAAAAACAATTTATAACAGCCATATTACTTCCTGAAATTCTCTAATCCTATGGAAAAGATGCTCAAAAATCTTTTTATTATAAAGCATTTAAGCTTTGAGACAAATGCGGAGAATGGAAAACACCACAGTACCCTCCACCCAGCTTTTTCCAATCACTTTTATTTTTTAAAATAAAACAACTATAGAGGTGAAATCCCTACATTTCTCATACGAATCTATTTCCCTCTCTCCCTCTTGGCTTTGGATTTTTTGGTTTATCAACCAAAGAAGTGATTTTTAAAAGGCTGGAGAGTATCATTTTTGTGAACATGCCAAACTTTTCCCCCTGAGACAGTGTTCACTTCAGTCACCGGGTGAGACGCAAAGCATACAGGCAAAAAGCCATCTTCCGTTCGCCACATGAGCCATTTAACAAAAATTTCTATTCAGAAATGACTGAAAAATATAGCTTTGGTGTCGGAACAAAAACTAAATGAATTTTACATGAATGTCTACGGGATCAATTTCTGTTGCTTCGTATCCGAAACACGACCCCAGGAGTGATTGCTCGCAGCTGCGGGCGGGCCCTGCGCTGTAACGGAAGGCATTTCCTACCAGCACATGTGAGATACCTGAGGTAAGAGTGCCCTCAGTGGGTACGGGAAGCCCCGGTGCCTGGCAGGGCCCCGTTTAGGAAGTGTGAGCATGACTGTGACATTGATGTACCCTACGGGCTGGGGACAGATGTTCCAAATGTCCCATTGTCCCGTTCTGATCTGTCCTGTACAGTTTAACACATGTGGCCTCTCAAGCAAAAGCCAGGAGGTGTTTTCATTGCAAAGAGGTATTTTGCTGTGTGACTCTGACCTGAAGGCAAGGCACCTCACTTCAACAACATCACAAGTTCACAAAACTAGAAAGGAGCTAGTCTCCCTCCAATTAGGGAGGTGCACACCTGTCAGGAATTGAGAAGGATAAAACCTTCTCTGTTCCCTTCGTAGATCATGACTACATCTGACGGTCTTAACTATCACCATAAATTTGAGTCTCCTTCAGTTTCCTAAAAGAAGCACAAGAAACTTACAGAGCTGGGGAATGGTGCAGGCTGGTGCCTCACTGTCCTCAGCCTCACTGGATTTGGACTATGTGGCCAGGAGGGTCCTTGGGTACGAGGCCACATCCCATCACAGCAGCACTGCACATTACAGAGAGGTGAGCTTTCTTCCTCCATCATCATGCGAACAAATGAAGATTTCACGCCTGAAGTCCACAGCCTCTCATCCTCATTCTAAACATCAATATGATAATACCCAACGAAAATAACCTAAATAGACTCATTACATTTTAGAAGATTCTAGTTGAATTTCTTAATTCTAAAGTTCCTTCCAACATAAAACTATCAGCCTTTAGTAGTCTCAGTGTGACCTTACTTTTATTAGTTTGTGTCATTGAATCATCTTTTTTTCTCCCTTTCCATGCATGTCTCTCTTCCCTAATCATCATATTCAGTTAATATGATTGGGAATAACAATTTAATAGCAACCAACATTTTCTTAGCATCTACTCTGGGTCAAGTTCTGTGCTAGGATCTAGGAAGATGCAAGCAAATAAAATGCAGCTTCTTATTTCAAGAGTTCACAGTCTAAGAGGAGAAAGAGTCACGAAGAGATCATTGTAACACAACTCTGCAAGTGCTCTAAATGGGGAATGAAAATGATGCTTTGGGAGTGCAAGAAAGGGAGTCACTACTTCTGCCACAAAAAAAGGGGCCTTTTGAGCAAAATCTTTATGGATAAGTGAAGAGCTCACCATGCAGGAAGAAGAGGGAAGTAAGTCAAGGAAAAGAAGAGCCATGTGCAAAGGCATGAAAGAAATAAACAGGATGGCACATTCAGGCAATGGCGGAATGATTCTGTTAGCTGGAGAGAAGGGAATGATAATGTTAAGAGATGAGGACAAAAGAAATGAGGGGCCAGATAATGACAAATGACACTGT